ACAACAAAAAAAAGGAATAATAATGAAGAAGATAAAGAAGAAGAAAAAACATTAATATACTATCTTCTTATTAAAAATTAAACACACTTTTATTATATAAATTTTTTGACTAAAAAACATGAAAACGATTAACAAAAAGATATACAATTAACCATCTAAACTTTAAACTTTAATAGTTAAAATCTAAAAATAATATTAAAACATAAATTTTAATTTTGTAAATATTTTCTCTGTGCAAACGTAAACACATGCTTAATATGTAAAAGTGTTGCTTAATATAAAGGATTGTACTAAGCATGTGTTAACATAAGAGTGAATATATTTTTCATATACATATTTTATAACATCTTAACATTATTTGTAGATTAACTATTTTGGCTACAATGTTATAGAACCATTAAATCACACATGTTAAAATTGTATTTACAAACCCAACATTTTCTAAAATTATTTTTTTTTAAACAGAAAAATTACATGCGCAGACGCGCATGTTAGATCCTAATTCTTTATAAAAAGAACATGAAACAACAATCTTAAAACACTTTTTCTATTTTTCTTTTCTTTGGTTTTTTTTTCACTTTGAGATACAACACAGAAGGTTCGAAAGCTTATGAATTAAGAGTGATACGAATCATAAGAATAATGCAGTTGTATCCTGAGATTTGGAATATCGTTTACATAATTAAGAAAAGAGATCACCATGTCTCGATTCTACAATCCAATTTCCTTAATTCTTGTTTAATCGGTATCATTTTATATTATATTTATCGATTTATTTTATGTAATTTCTTTATAAATTATCAGTCTGCCCAATTGTAGTAATTGCGTTCCAACACTCTTAATTCTGTAAGTTTTCGTTTATGCTTATTGAACTAACGAAAACTGATGATTTTATGAAATATTTTTGTTTTAAGAATAAAAATCTGGATCTTTAGTCGGACAATTATTTGATCATTTTCAGGTTATTCTAGTTCTGAAATTTGTTGATTATTCAACAGAAATTCAGATAACATATCCCACAATTTATTTATATTATTTGCAGTTTTGTTGATAACTGAGAACTTATTTGAAAATGTTTAGGCATTTTATCTATATTATTTAAATTCTTTAAATATATCTCTGCTTTAATCTGGTTAAATAGTCGACAAAAAAAAAATCTGGTTAAATTCTGATTACTTATTTCTCTTTACAAATTTTCAGAATTTTTCTATGATTAAAATCTGTGAAAGCAGGTGTTCAAAGAAAAATTATGTTCATGCTCGAACATAATATCTGAATCTTGTGTGCAGTTTGTTTACAATTTCTCTTGCTTCTTTTGTGTCGCATTTGATTATTGTTTGGTTAATTCAATACTGCTTGCATTTGCATTTGTTAATATTTGCTAGCCTTCGCACATGTTTTTATCTCAGCTTGATGTTAAATTTGATCAAGTCAAAGTCTTGCAATAGTGCGTGAACTTCATCATTATGTCTATTACATGAAATTCTTTAATTTGGTTTAACCGGTTTAAGAAGTTCTGGTTTGGATTGGATCGTTTGTTATCTGAATTATGATCATTGTCTTGCTTAATTTGCATAAGAAATACGTTGAGTTATTTATGCAATTAATCATGGCATTTAAATTGCATATTTATTGTCCTTGTATTTATTCATTCAGATTAAATTGTTAAATTTCAGTAATTCAATTCATTCTGAACATTTATTTTGGTATTGCAGTTTATTCATTATTGTTTAAATTGTTGAATATTAATATTATTGAATTTCTAAACTTTTGTGTTAGTCTAATTTAAATTTGATTCTAAACAACAAATTTAATTTTAAGTATGACTATCACTAGATAGACAGTTTAAGTTGACAAAGTGTACTTGAATATACATTTGTGTTTTAGATCTGTTTTTAAAGGCTGTCTAAGAGAAAAAAAAAAGCAACAAGTATGGTGAGTTGACATCTCAAATTGGGAATGGTCTTCCACTTACGATCTTGCGTGCTTTATGGATTGGAGTTCTGATGTTTATTTGAATGTCCAAATCCTACTTTTACCGAGTTGCAGTGGAGGTTTTGATTTTATAGTTACAAATTTAGTGAGTCGACGCACCAAATACAGTTTGGTAGCAATCTGCCATATCTGATTGAGCCAAATTCTGATGTTAATCAGATTGTTAAGTTAGTGCCTAGTGCTGTAAGCATAAGACTAATGCTAGACAAGTTCAATTGAAATAGATTCATTATGTGTCATGCGAAGATATTTATCTCCTTGAACATGTTGCCTTTAGAAAAGTAACTCAAAGAGGATATCATATACTTTCTCTTGAGAAAACTTAAAGTTAAAACTTTAGTCAGTGTTGAATCTTGTATCATTGAGATTGTTCTATGCAAAGTTAGATTAATTCTGTCTGTACAAACCATTATATAAATTTACAGTGAGTTGAGTACTTCTATGGTGAAAACTGTCTTAAGCTGTTATTTATCAGCGCTTGTCAACACCAAATCTGGCTCTGAAAACTTTATCGATTTGGATATCAGAGTATTACTAACTTACCTGTGTATCTATAAACCCGCACTATCTCCCAACTCCCCCACCTCTTCAGCTGATATGAAAAGATCACCTTCATTAATGTCTACATCTATGGAAAGATCATTTCTGCAATCTTCCTCCCTTATGAAGCGAGCATTTCCCTCCTTCAGGAGAGTCACACTCCCTCTTTTGTGGAGAAACCCATCCGATTCACTCTCTCCTTTATGGAGATGTTGAATCTATCATTATCCTTCTTTTATGGAGATGTTGAATATTCGTGGCTTCATAAGACGTCAGCTGCTTCAAGCAATATCTGATCGCCCCCATTAGCGTAAGCATCAGCGATTGTCCTCGCAATCAAGCAAGCCATCGATTTGGGTTTCACAAAATTTCAATTAACTTCTGATTCACAGAAAGTGACCAAAACCACCAAGTCAGAAACTCCTTCTAAAAAGCTTCATGGGATTGTTTTTGACATCTTACACCTATCTTCTAGTTTTTTTGTCGTTTTTGAAGCCAACTCTGTCTCATTTGCAAAGAATACCTGTCTCATTTGCAAAGAATACCTTAAGCTTTTTGCTTGTTCCATTTAAGTGATTAAAGAAGATTAGTATTTGAAAAAGAAAAAAACAATAAATATTTCTCTATATATTTTTAATATGTTTCTCTAATTCTGATTTCTAAATTCAAAAGTTATATTAAAAATAAATATTAATAAGTTATTATTGAGTTATAGATAAAAATGCAATAAATATATATATTATATTATAAACATAATTTTAAAATATATATTGTATGTTTTGCATAAACGTTTACATATATCCATGCATTTTATAATAGTTGTCCAGTCGACTATTATATTCGCATAGAATATAAATTAATATTTAATAAATTAATATTTTGATCAATTAATAGTTTTTATGTTTAAAAATTATTTTATTAATTATATTATATTTTTATAAGTTAATAAAATTTCATTATTTTAATTGTATTAATTTGTAAAAATTTCACTCATCTTTATTATGCTAATTATTATAGAAAAAGTCATTGTTTTTTCTTTGTCGTAAACAATTGTTTATATTAAGATTTTACTTTGAACAGTAAAAAGATACAATATGTGAATGATATATTTTATTATTTTCTTCTAGTTGGCTTGCTATTAGAAGTGGGCACAAAAATTATAACCGAAAAACCAAACCATAAAAAAGTAATATAATTTGGTTAGGGTTAAATCTGATATCATTTTTTTTAGTTTTAATTTAGGTTTAGTTTGGTTAAAAACCATCAAAGCAAAAAGTTTTTCAGTTTTAAAACTAAATTTTAAATAATTTATATTTTTCTATTTTCTTAAATTAGTTTAGATCTATATTTGATTATTAGACTTAATTATCTTTATAACTTACTAACCTAACTTATAAATTTAAAATATAATATTTATAAATATATCTATATAAATAATAAAAGTTGTCAACACTATTTTTCAGTCAAAACAAAAAAAAACTTTTGTTGTTAACTCCTCCTTCTTCACATCCAAATCTTCTACTTCTATTTTTTAGGTATTTAATTTTAATTTATATCTATTTAATGTTTTCTAATTATTTATTTTTAAAGGTTTGATAGTTTGTTTGTTTTCCTGTTTTGAAATATGTTTTTATTTCATGATTGAAATTCAAATTCGATTCACTTGTGGTCTTTAAATACATTATAAGGTTATAATCATATTTAGATCTTATATAAATATAAATTATTTTTAATATTTATATATTATAAATTTTGTATATTAAAGATTTATAAATAACCTGAGGAGAACAATAGTAGCCGCTAAGAATCTGAGTTTTTTTATTTAGTTTTGAGTTTTATAAATTTAGTTTTAAATTTTTTATTAATAGTTTTCTTATGATTTGAATTCTATTTTTTGAATTTTTTTTTTCTTTCAATCATATCTATTATTATTATTTCCATTTGTTTGAATTATTCTTTTTTGTAATAATATAATTTCAAAAAAAAACAAAATCGAACCAAATTACATATAGATTTGTGTAGTTTAAATTTTTTAAACCAGAAAATTGAAAACCAAAGAAAGCTAAACCATAGTGAACTGTAAAACCGATAAAACCAACCCATATTTGAATTTTTATAAAACTGATAAACTGTAAAACCGAAAAAACCAACCCAAACCAAACCCAAACCCGTACTTTCTATGGTATTTATTGAAGAAAAGTCATAAGCCTTTTCTATTTTTTTCGCCTGTCGTTTGGAAGAGCAGAAGTGAAAAGGATATGTCTAGGGCTACCATCTCCGCCGCTGGTGCCGATATCACAAAGTTTGGAGATTGGACGGAGTTATCTCCGCCGCCGAAGACAGATCCGTTGGCGGAGCTGGAGGTGAAAACAGAGGCCCCACCAGTTTTCCGCACAAGAGTTGAAAAAGTGGAAAAAATCAATCTAACTTAGTTTATTGTTTAACGGTTAACAAAAAAAAAAAAACTAAACAATTGATGTTGTGTCTGGTCTTTGACACCATGTTCCTAAGCCTTGCAGCAGTGATGTTGTACCAAAAAGAGTACACCATAGCTCCATGTTTTGGCTCCAAGTAGAAAGCTTGCTGCCAAAAAGAAAGCAAAGCAAGTAACGGTACAACAAAATAAACCAAAAAATCGATATATCAGACACAATAGAACAAGGAACCTGACCCTCTTCTACTTTCTCTGTAAAGTCGACCAAATCCTCCTTCTCCCCAATTTCTTCCTCCGCTGTTTTGTATTATCCAGTAGTAGTTACCATGCTCATCAACTCCAAAGCCCAGAATGAGAATAGCGTGGAGCTGAAGATTGATTTCTTTTTGGGGTCTGTAAATACCCTGTTTCGTCAAACAACAACAATCAAAGATATTAAGGCTGGAAAAACTGCAATCACAATTTACATTAGCTCAAAAAATTGTAGTTAAATACACTTACGCTTTTGTATGATTCAAAATCGGACCACAAAGGCACAACTCCAACCACCGGATGCTTCCACACTAGTCTTGCAAGATCGACATCATCGACTTCCTTGATGACAACAAGACGGTCAATCCTCTCCATCTTTGGCTACAAAGAAAACAGAATTGAGAATGCAAATAATAAAGCGTATAAGTGATATTTTACGACATGCTAAAGAGAAAACGTATAAGTAATCTTGTTCTTACATTTTCATGGACGCATGTGTCTTTGGCACGAGTGTATGAACATTCAGCTTCCTCCAAAATGCCTTTTTCTGCCACGAATTTTCCAAGATCTGTGCTCTCTTTCAATCCAAGTGACCCGATTTCGATATTATTTATTAAATGTTGAATCGAAAAAGACTTTTGATCTTCTAGCCTTTTGCCGATATTGAAAAGCGCTTCTACAGATCGGATAAATGCTATTGCCCAGCATATTACTATAAAGAAATAAAAAAAATCAATTATTGGTTAATAACAAACATAAGATTATTAATATATTTATGTGATGAATTTATAACTTACGATGATGTTTCTGTGTGAGTACATTACTAATTATTCCCAAATAGAGTCTCCAATCCCAATTCACAGGGCAGTCCTAAACCATAATTTAAACAGTTCATAATTAATTTAAAATAAACCATATATCAGTAGAATAAATCTAGAAAATTAACTTTGTACTTTACAAAATGAACATAAAAACTTACATCTCCATCATCAGAAACTTTGATCCTTTTTTTGATTTTTTCTCATCGTCCTAAAAACATTAGAGAGCATTTAATTCATGACCAAATTAAATCATTAGTTTTCAGATTAATCACACACACACACATTTATAAATATATATTATAAAAACAATTAAGTCAATACCATATATTTTCGGTTTCTAGGCATTTCTTCTTCAGCAATTTCTTCCTCGACAATTTGTTTTTCCTTGCCTTTGTTCTGTTTAAACAAAAAATCAATAGATCATTAACTATCGTTGAATAGTGAAGTGAACACACAATGTGTATAAGAAAACGAATATATATATATAATATTTTACCTTCTTCCTGTCATCTTTCTCACTTCTTTTTCCTCCTATATCCATTTTCTGAAATTTGTTTTAAACCCAAAACAAAAAAGTTCTTAGATATTTCATATTAATACAAAAAGATCTACCCCTAATAAAAAGAACATTTCCTTGTTCTTGATAAACAAGTTTCCTAGATCAAAAGACAATCTTTTTTTATACTTATAAATAATAACTTATATGTTTAATTTAATAGAAGAACATTCATAAACTAAAGATGAGGGTTTAATGAAAAAAAAAACCTAAAATTTATACAACAACAATAAATAAAATGGGAAATCGGTTTTTTTTTTTTGTTAAAAGGAATTGGAAAATGAAATTTCAGAACTTTAATAACAAAAACCCATATAAAATATAATGGTGAACTTTGAAGTTGGTCGATTTAGTTTCATAGATCCTTTATATCATAATAAAAAGGCCAAACCTGAAACAAAAATAGTCTTTATTTTCATAAAAAGCTTACTAGATCTTTTTTTCCATAAACAACAATCTTTTATACATATAAATAATGTATTCTTAGTCTATTATAGTAGGAAAAACATCTATAAAGTAAAGATGATGCATTCATGGAAAAAAAATGAAAATTTTTATGAGAGTTTGGGGTAAGAGAACTTTGAAGAGATCTTACCAGATCTAGTGATTTGGGGGAAGAATAAAGAAGTGATTTTACTAGAAGAAACAAAGAGAAGAGTGTTTAAAGGTGAAAATTTGGGGAAGAAATCATAAAAGAGAGAGGGGGAGCTAGGGTTATGATAGTGAGAGACGGGGGCAAGATTTAGAGAGAAGTGTTTTTATGTATATATAGGAGCAATATAAAGAGAGAGCCTTTTTCGTGCAACCAAGATTTAGAGAGAAGTGTTTTTAGTGGAAAAAGAATGCGCAGGAGGTAATGTGATTGTTTTCTATTTGTCACCTTGTTAGAATGAATAGTTCTTTAATGAAAGTTAATATATTATCATAAAATTAATAATGAAAAATCATAAATGTTATAAAGTAAATCGATAAAATACTATTAATATTTTAAATGAAATAAATTAAAAATATATATATTCCGAATAATAAATATTAGTCTTGATTTAGTTTTTTAGTGCATTTTTTTTTTAAAAAGTTACATTTAAAAAATAAGTTTTTTACTTAATCTATTACTTATTGCGTTGCCGTTGCCAGGAAAAAAACTGATAGACAAAAAACCTGAAACTAATTTTATATGGACAGATCTTTTTCTTCTTTAGCCAGAGTAAAATTTAAATTTTAGAATAGCGTAGAAAATGAAATGATTTTTTCTCTTTGACACTTTTCTCAACTGATACTAACATATGATTTTCTCTAAATTGATCCTTAAATATCAAACTTTTGTATTTATTTTTGTTAATCAATGATGTTCGAAGTTAATCAATGATAAGTAAGACAAAGTAAAACACGTATAGTATATGTCTATAGTCCATGAAGTCCATTTATGATATAGCTTTCACTTTTTTTTTGACTTTGTCTCTTTACTGAAATTCAGACACTAGTATGAAAATAGAAAGTTTGCTTTAAGGTAGCGTGACCCTTTATAGTTTCTATAATGTATCATGGTTACTTGATTTCTTGATGGGGTCTCTGGGCAGTCAAATCTTTTTGATTCGCCAACCCAAAAAAAAATAATAAAGTATCCCTGTTGCAGCCTTGGAGACAATATGAATATGTTAAATGTATGCTTGTTTTTCCCTTCACGAAAATATATCTTCTATCGATATGCATTTATGTTGCTGATTCGCAAGCTACATGAGTCGTCCCTGAAACGAAATAATTAAGAACAATACAAAAATCAAAACTTTAAGGAGGTGTTATTGGTTCTTATATTTTAATGGATTTGAGAATCCAAACCAAATTCAGTGTTATTGGTTCTTGTATTTTAAAATTTATATTGAAATACAGTGTTATTGGTTCTATGATTTTAAAATTCATAATGAAATACAGTGTTATTGGTTCTATCATTTTAGAATCTAAATATTATAAGGATTTGACTTTTTATTAAATTTGAATAGATTTGGAAGGATTTTCATGACTAAAATACAAAGACCCAAATACAAGGTCTAACCTTGGTATTTGAGTAGATTTGATTTTTTTTCTATTTTGCTGATTTTGAAATCAATAAATTTATCAAATCCAAAGAAGATTTATAAATCCACCAAAATACAAGAACCAATAACCCCTACTAAGTAGTACAACCAATTGGGTTTCAAGTTAAATAAGAAAAAAAAAATATCAGTTTTTGATCAATTTAAGCAGTTGGTTTAGTTTGGTTCAGCTTATTAAGTACGGGTTTTTGATTCATTCCTAATCAGATTGTAATAATATGAGGAAGAAAAGTATTGACAGTGAATAACTTTTAATTTTTTCTCTATGATTGATTATTGAGATTCATAATTTTTTAAAAAGATATACCATATTCATTTTTTGGTTTAGATCATTTCACCAAATTATTTATAAGGGAATATTTAGACGTTTTGAAGATAATGAATCTCGTCTTAAATTATCACAACAATATATATAGTACGTCCTCTTTTTCAGTGTCAAAAGAGTAGTAAATTTAACAAAAATATATATTTTTTAAACAATTAAAAAAATATATTCTAAAAAGACTGTATACGGTATGACTTTATCGTTTCAGTTATGTGGAACTGTTCTCATTTGAAATTTTAAAATAATGCAATGTTTGAACAAAAAAAAAGAGATTGGTCATAAAAAAAGAAGGAAAAGATCATAGAGCTAATCAATCTTCTAGATCTTTAGCTCTTTGAATAATGAAAATTTGAAATCATGCCTACAACTTGAATTTGTGTTTTTACAATTACTTGAGAAAAGGACGTACTTTGTGGTTCGGTTTTTAACCTTATCGTCATGCATAAAATCGAATCTTGCAATGTCAAAAAATCAACACACAGTTGATGACCCTTATTCCATAGTCGATATATAAAGAAGATAGATTTTATAGTGAAGCTACCACGTATCCCCCATATTGATGGTTGCCCAATTTTGATCCCAAGAGTCGTTATTATCAGTTTCAATGTACGTGATTCACGTACCGACGCAAATTTAATGTAAGATGTAATACCACATCTAATTCTCCAACGTAACTGGCCCGTACTGTGACTACTGTCCTACGACGTGGAATATGTTACAATGCAACGATGTTCCTTCTATGGCAGAATCTAATTCTTTACACACTTTATTGTGTTAATTGTAAGAAACGTTATTTTCTATCTTAAGGTTGAACAATCGATACCAAAAAAATTGTACATGGATAGTAAAGAATTTAATGATGAGTTTTATGCCAATTCAAAATGGTCTTTTAACTGATGATAGATCTTTTATAAGATCAACGTATAAGTTTTTATTTTAACTTAAACCAAGTAAGTTTTGGGTTAGACTGTTAATGGCGAGTTTTAGAGTCTTAGAGCATCTCTAACTCTACTCCATTTTTAACTCCAAATATTGTTTTGAAGTAAAATTCTCTTCAACCTTACTCTATTTTCAACTCTAAAATGGAGTAAACCTAAACTATACTCCATATTTGGAGTAGATCTAAATTCTACTACATTTTGGAGTGAGACTTTTTTATTTGCAAATTAATTCTTTAGATTTAAAATAATCATATTTTATACTATTTAATATTTATAAAAAGTATTATAAAACTGATAATTATGAATATTTAAACACTGTAATTATTCCTAAAAAATTACAAAATATAATAAACTTTAAAATACATAATAAGTGCTGAAATTATGATAAACAATATAAATAAATTTAAGACAGCAACTACAAAAAACATTAATGATAATTTTTTTAGTATTAGTAATGTTTAAATAAAAATTACATATGCTTTTTGTGATGTTATGTAATTTTCATTATTTGATAAATATTTAAATTATAGTTTTTTAAAAAAATGTAAATAATAAAATAAGTGGGATTTATTTGTAAATTTTAAAACTAAAAAGTATCTATAATAAAATTGAATAAGAATCTATTTAAAATATTCCTTTTTGGAGTATAAAATGGAGAAATACATTGGAGCAAAACACAACTCTATTTTGGAGTTACTCTATTTTGGAGTAGAAAATGAAGAAATACATTAAAGATGATCTTATAGAAATTGTGCATCCCGTATCTATTAGTTCACTCCAGTTTGAATGATTATATGACGGAGAGATGTATGAAATTTTAACTCAAAACTCTTCAATTTAGTCATACAGTATTTAATTTGCTAGTTAATTTTGAACGTTGCTTTCAATTTACCATGGTTCTAAAATTACATGCAGTAATTAATACTAATTTTTTATTATTAATAAAAAATTATTTCTATTAAGATTTCACTTTGGAAAAGGATAAATAAATTAAATATGTAAATTATCTCTTTGACTGTAACAAATTTGACTACGATTATACGCTCCCGTCAAATTCGAATGTAGATTAAAATTCGATGTTGAGCGCAGTGACGAGTTAATGAAATTGCTCATAAAAACAGCAATCGACGAAGAAAATGAAGAATATGTATGTAAGAGAGTTTGCTCTTCTCATCCTTGTCTTTTCTTGAATTTCTAAATCTAATTTTCTTTCTCTCGCAGGGAACACAACTTGCGTTTGTCAACTTCGACGAAGAAAACGAAGAATATGTGGATTCAAATTCGATGTTGAGCGTCCAAGGTTTTTGCTTTCATATAATCTTGTGGACCAAAATTACTTTATCTTAACCTTAACCGTGAGAGAAACCCTTCAAGGCAAGAATGTAAGCACCATGCACATGTGCGTGCATGAAAGCACCATTCTAATTCAAAATTATGTGGGATTTTTTTTTTCTGTCAAAATCTCTCATGGCATTCTCACAAAGCATGCATCATGCTTCATGCATGTGCTGACATGCTTAAGGTTATTGTTGCTCGTTTTCAGATATACTATAAAATCGATGGTAATACCGTAAGTCCGTAACACTTTCGTGATACTTTCCATGCAATCTTCTTAATTCTTAATAGATAATCTATATGATTGAATAAAATAAATAATAAGCATAGAAATTAATCATTAAGTCCTAAAAGCTGGTTTTATAAGATTACTGACATTTCATTTTTTTTAAAAAAAATAATTTTTGTAAACACAAAAACATGAAATTTTGTTAAATATTCTAAATGGTTAACTATTAACGGAACCACATGGTCCACATTTCAAAATTTGATATACTAGTATCATCATATAGATCTATATGATCACATTTCTGTCAAAACGCAATCCTAGCACTACCATAAAATCTTGCTCACATCCATTAATATATGACTGATCGACTCAGAAGCATATTTGCTACATGATAAAGTATATTTTCCAACCTTCCATCTACCTAATCCAATTTTTTTTTTAATAAGTATTTCAATTTTTTGTTAAAACAAAATAATTAACTTATTCCTTTTTCAACAAGTTTCATATATATAAGATTAAACAAGCATGTATCTATACCAAAAAGTATATGTACATATATAACCATGGAAATAGGAGTAGTAATCCAACAATTTATTATAAAATATACCCACAAACAAAACAGGCAACCTCGTAATATATCCTTACAAACTTAGATAGACAAAACGTTCATACATGTATGTTTTTGTTTTGCTTATCTTCGATACTTTCATTACATTAGTATTACTGTTATAGCAAGCTACGTTCTATACGTAATAATCCCTTTACGTTAAATCAAACCCATAAAGCCCCAACGCGTTTAAGCATCGGAACTAGAGAACGGTTGAGATGGAGACTCATGACTTGATTGGCTCCACCAACGAGCTGCCCTCCTATAAACACCACTGGCACGGTCGGGCTGCAGCCAAGCTGAGCCAATGCTTGCTCTATTTCTTTTCCTC